TCTGCTGTATTCTGTCGATTCACCTTTTCCCCAATACCCTTGCATAACTTTGACAAACACTGACCTTTTTTATTATCTCCATAGACATTTCTATAAGGACATATAATCAAATACATCATTGCTATTAGTATTTCGAGCAAATTATATGTTAGATTAAGAAAAGAAAAATGAGCTATTTTACCTTTACTTGTTCCTTTTTTGATATTCTTCCTTACTTTATGCAGATCCAAGTTTGTGATCTATGTTGTTTTTCTTCTCTCTAGAGAACTTCTTTTAACATTACACAAGGCAGGTGTACTGACAACAAATTCCCTTAATTTTTCTGAAAAAAAAATCTTGTTTTCTCTTTCATTTGTGAAGTGTTATTTTACAGCATACAAAAATCTAGGTTGGGGGGTACTTTTTCTCTCAACAACTCACTCTACTCTTTCTGCTTGCATGGTTTCTGAGGAGAAGAAATATGTAATTTATATCTGGAGGTAAATCTCAATTATACTTCCTATCCCGCCCATGACTGGTTTCCCATGGCATTATTTTTTTTATGAATTTGGGTTTTTTTTAAAGATTTATTTATTTATTTAGACATACAGAACTGGGGAACAGGCCAGAGGTACAGGGCGGTGAGAGAATTTACTAGAGACAGAATGGGGAACAGCACAGGAGGATCAAGAAGTGCACTGGTGAGGGAAGCAGAGGGCAGGTCAGGAGCTGAGCCCTGTGGATCACCTCAGGGCTGGGGTTCGAACTCGCACTGAAGCGACTATGCCCAACTTGCTGTGCTGCGTCCTAACCTGTTGTGCCACCAGGGAGAGCCTCCCATGGAATATTTAACTCTCAAAGTTGTCTACACCGAACTTTAAAAATTCATTAATTTCAGTTCAGGTTTTCCTGTCCTGATACTGGTTCCCATGGTGATTTCTACATATGGATCTCTCGTTATTGGCAACTCCCTGTGTTTACCTGTCTCTTATTCTGGGAACAGCAGTTTGAGGGATCCAAGAAGAGTTTTCCTTTTTTTTTTTTCCTTGTATTTTCAGTTTTTAGGTTTGTTTTTTTTTTTTTTTTAATTTATTTATATGTACAGAACTGGGGTTATTTATATGTACAGAACTGGGGTACAGGCCAGAGATGTGAAGGGTGAGAGGATTCACCAGAGACAGAGTACAGAACAGGCAGATCGACGAAGTACACTGCTGAGGGGAGCAGTGGGCCGGTCAGGAGAGGTCTGCCTCGCCATGTGGATCACCTCCGGGGCAGGCGGGAATCAAACTCATGAGGAAGTGGTTTAAGCTTCTTTATGCTATGCTTTAACCCGCTGCACCACCAGGGAGGGCCCTCAGCTTTTAGTTTTTTTTTTTTAGATTTATTTATTTATTCATACAGAACCAGGGTACAGGCCAGAGATGCGGAGGGTGAGAGGATTCACCAGAGACAGAGTGGGGAGCAGAACAGGCAGATCGACGAAGTACACTGCTGAGGGGAGCAGCGGGCGGGTCAGGAGAGGTCTGCCACGCCATGTGGTCACCTCCGGGGCAGGCGGGAATCGAACTCATGAGGAAGCGGCTTTAGATTCTCAGTGCTGTGCTTTAACCCGCTGCGCCACCAGGGAGGGCCAGCTTTTAGTTTTTTATTAGGATTTTCAAGTGTCTTACACAGGGAACTTGTATTTTTTCAAATTAAAATCTCTAATTTTTATTAAACTCACATTATAATCTTTTGATATAAAAGGATTGATTAAATTTTATAAAGACTAATTTACAATAAAATTGAGACAACCTACTTATCATTTCTTGCAGTGCTGTTACCAAAAGAATAGGGCTTTGAATTTTAATTCTGCCTTACACAAGATATATAATTAGGTTTTAGGCAAATTATTTAATCTGTAAAAGTCTCACTTTTCCCATCTATAAATCAGGGATAATTATATATACCTTAAACCATATTCTGACACATTAAATAAAATAAGTAAATTACCAACTATGGCATAACATAGCTGTGTATTATTCCACTGTTATTAATATCGTTATTTTTTATTTGTAGTGGAAAATACCATGATCAATCAAGTGCCTGGAAGTTACTTTACCTTCACTTATTTCTTCTTTTGATGCTCTTCCTTTCTTTATGGAGATCTAAGTTGCTGATCTATATTGGTTTAGTATTCTCTAAACAACTTCTTTGAGCATTAAGCAAGGCAGCTAGCATGTAGCAGAGAACAAGTAGATCACTTCTTTCACCATGATTGTGCCTGAGATGGTCAATCTGACTAACCAGAATGTGTTACCTGGTTATTTTCACAGTTGAGATATGGCTTTCTTGATGGTGGACAATGATACAGTAACACATTTTTAGAGTTATGAAACTAGACCTCCAAAATATATATGAAGTTACAACTTAATTTGGCCTCAATAAATAAAATTTAAATAAAAAAATAGATGTGAATATTTCTACATCAGTTATATTTTTCCCAATAAGTTTACTTGTAGTAATATTTTGATATGTTTATGGGCCTTTTTCTTCCCTCTACTTCTTTATTCTGTACTAGTTATCCTTTGCCCTGATCATTTAGGTAATAGAAACTAGCAGGCTGATATACTGATTAGATATAACACAGTATTTCATCAGTTTTGAACACCTCATTAGGCTTTTTAAAAGTCCAAAGAAGAAATAATATTTTTGAAATCATAGGTTTTCTTTGTCAAAGGTTGAGCATTTTGAGAGCTAAAAAATTTGCTATGCCCCAAACTACCAAGAATCCTGAAAACTCATTTTATGTCAGAAGTCGGAGTGTGCTAGAATAACTAAATAGAAAATAGAGATCTTAGCAAGGTAAAATTTTACTAATATATAGAAAGAGAAGATAAAATAGGACCAGAAGAGGTACTGTGCTTGGATAAATGAGTTGACTAGAGAAAACAACTGCAGATATATAGCTTGGACAGAAGAATTTGCTCAAGAACAGGAATAATGGATTTGTTACCTCTACAGCAGCCAGACCAGAGAGTTTCCTCTCATGACAAACCTATTAGAGTTTCTCAGGAACTTATACCACTTCTAAGAAGAAAAGGCAGAGAAGAATGAGAATTCTGCAGTGAGTGGTTACCCAAAAGAAAGGTCATTATGCAGAAGAGCTCAGAGTTAAGTTAGGGTCAGTTAACCTATAATTATTTTCTTTTTTCCCTTAAGTGTTTTATTTACTTATGCATACAGAACTGGGGTACAGGCCAGAGGTGCAGGAGCAGTGAGAGGATTCACTATAGAAAGAGTGGAGAGCAGAAGAGGCATATCAACAAAGTACACTCCTGAGGGGAGCAGTTGGGTGAGACAGGAGAGGTCTACAGCTTCATGCAGGGCAGGGATCAAACTCTCTCTGAAGTCGCCAAGGCTTGACTTAACTTCACAGTGCAGTGCTCCAACCTTCTGCACCACGAAGGGCCAAAATCTATAATTATTTTCTAACTTTATGCTGAAGTGTCATATCCCCTATCAGGCTATGGATACCTCAAGTTTTAATTCTTTGTTAATCTGAAAACTCCCATCACCTGAAATGATTTTCAAGACTATAAAAGGCAAAAAATGAAAAATAATTTCAAATTATTCTTTCGACTATCATGAAATTAAAAATAGGTACATGTTTTGCATCATGGATATTTCAGGAAACTACACTGAAAATTACTCAGTGAACACTAGCTTAAGCAGGTTAAACTTATTTGTATCTTAATTTGAAATAAAACTTCAAAAATATAAATATTTTGAAATGTACATAATCTCTAGAAGAATTTAAAAAACTAGAATTTTTTCTTTTATAAGATGTTAATGAAATTATGAAGTATAAGTATAGTCATTTAAGTGTGAAAACTACATTTAAATATTTTTATACAATCAGCATTTGATTCAGTCTTATCATCTGAGCACAGTGGGTTCTTTTTACAATATGAGGCTCATCTGTTTTTATTCTTTGCTGCATTTCTGAGTAATGGACTAAAGCTTACTGTGTTACAGCAAAAGCCATTTGAAGTATTAGCCATAAGTCATAATTTGTAATAAGACAATTAATGTTAAACACAGTAAGATTATTAATATCAATTTTATATCAGCTAAACTCTTACTGAGCTTCAGATACATATAAAAAGTGAGGAGAAAAATGTACTTGTGATACCTTTTTGATGTTGTGCTGAAGTACTTAAATCCTAAAAGTGCATGTTTTAAAACCACATCTTCCATAGATGATATTTTATCTCTGCTTTTAAAGTTTACTCAGTTTAGTGATGAGATGAATCCCTTTTACCATAAAAGGGACAAATTAAATTTTGATAGTTGTCATAAACTTTTTAATTAAAAAAGTCTATACTAATAAACATTATTCTTTTGAGAGTTTATCTATTTGCCTCACATGGTATTTTAACTTTAGCTACAGATTATTACTATTTTGTATTGTTCTTAACACTAAAGAACTTACAAGAGAAAAGTGAACAAAAGTTTTATGCTGTATACTCTAAAAAGGTTATCTAGTAACAAAGACTAATGAACGCTACCTTCTGGATAAAAGAAAGAAACGGAATAGAATATCTGGATTTGAACATATGTAAGCATTACTGTAAAATGTCAATATTTGATGGGCCCTCCCTGGTGGCACAGGGGGTGAATGCACTGCAAAAGAAGCCTAAGCCACTTCCACACGAGTTCGATTCCCGCCTGCCCCGGAGGAGATCCACATGGCCTGGCAGACCTCTCCTGACCCGCCCGCTGCTCCTCTCAGCAGTGTACTTCGTCGATCTGCCTGTTCTGCTCCCCACTCTTGTCTCTGGTGAATCCTCTCACCCTCCACATCTCTGGCTTGTACCCCAGTTCTGTTAAAAAAAAAAAGTCAACATTTGACAGTACTATGAAGGTGGTGGTAAAAAATAAGCTTGGAATAGACAAACTTAAATCTTAATAATTTAAATATTATAATTTCAAGTGTTTATTTTTCACTAATTTTTTGCTTCATGTAATAATACTGAAGGCACATGTGATAAATAGGTAGTCATACTAAGTATATGCTACACATTCAAAATATTCATCCAATGTCTTCCACTATTCTTCTATTAGCATTTCTATTGTCTATCTATTACTATCAATTACAGGAAGGAATATCACTATCAATTTTATATCAGGTAAACTCTTACCAAATTTCAGATACAGTAAGAATACATGACTGATTCAAAAAAAAAGAGAAATTTGTCACTATGGTAGATCTTTGATAATGATGGTAGTTGTTAAGAGTCCAAAGAATTTTCTCAACATTCTTTGGCACAACTCTTGTTGACATAGACTGTACTGTACGTTACTCCTTGACCATGGTTAATCTTTCATTCCAATGTGTTTTCTTAGTTCAGCTGCAGTTTTTTCCAGTTGTTGAATGTTCCATTGCCACTGTCTTCTATTTGACTGAAGCTTGTTCACTTGACAATGCAAACGCTTAAGAATCGCACCATATCTCTTATGTTGTACCTATTAAAAGGAGAGTACATATTAACAGGGCTTGATACTAAACAGCCTAAAGGATCTTTTGACAACACTAAAGAGAAAAGCAGTTGATTAGAAATTATTCATTATAAATAATGGTGATAATAAAAACAAATAGTAATTATACTTATTACTCAATACATTACACATTAGATATTGTGCTGAGAGTTTTGTACATATAATTATGTTCTTATAACATCTTAGGATGTGGCCATCTCCCTATTTTTGTATAAATAAACTTTAAGACATTTAATCAGTCAAGTTTCAATTCAGCAAGTGATGATGGTGTTTTGACATTTGAATTCTAGTGAAACAACTGTGAAGGAGTGCCTTTTCTTATCAAAACAATCACCAGTTAAGAAAATGATTTCATGTCCTGTATTATGCCATTCACTAAAACACAGACCCATAGATATAAAAAGATTTTGGGATCACGTAAGCGATTTCCCTACCATTAAGTAGATTAATATTTATGTTGAGCAAAAAAAAAAAAAAGTTCCACTGTGGAAAATGCAAGGATTTTGGTGTTAGGCCTAAATAAGTAAAAAATAAAAAAGAAATAAAAGCTAAAATTCCTTAGTGCCTTAGTGCTGTTTATTCAAAGAACACTCAATTTTTAAAGTAGCTTTATTGTGATATTTCACACACCAATTTAAAACTCAGTAAGGTATGCAATTCAATGGTTTTAGTATATTTACAGAGTTGTGAAAATACTTAAAACTTAGAATATTTCCATAATCTCCCGCAAAACCTCGTACCTCATAGTAGTGATTCCTCATTCTTTCATTCTGATGCTTAGCAGTAGGCAATCGCTAATCTACTTCCTCTTTATGTAGACTTGACTATTTTTGAGATGTCATATAAGTGAAATCACACAGTTTGTGGGGTTTGCTACTGGTTAATTTCACTTAGCATAATATGTTTAGGGGCCATTCATGTGTTAGCATATATTAATGCTTCATTCTTTTTTGTTGCCACATAAAATGGTATGATATTACACATTCTATTTGATTCATCAATTGATGCATATTTGAATTATTTTTATGTTTTGGCCTTTATGAGTAAGGCTCCTATGAACACTAATGTACAAGATTTTGTGAGGACTTGTTTTCACTTCTCTGGGGTATATATACCTAGGAATTACTGGGTTACAGGTATCTTTATGATTAACCATTTGAGGAACTGCCTACTGTTTTCCAAGGTGATTGCACTATTTTTGCATCCTTGATCAAGGTTCAATTTCCTCACATTTGTACAGATACTTATTACTTGTATTTACGATCACAGCCACCCTAATGGGTGTGAAACATGTTTATCTTTGTGTTTAAACACATAATTTTAAATGAATTTCTAAATTAGTAGAATAGGTTTGGGAAAGTTACCTATTAAAATTTTTAAGTTTTCTTTTTATTTTGTTTTAAAAAATGTTTGTGGTGGCACAGCAGGTTAAAGCACAGCACTGAGAAGCTAAAGCCGCTTCCGCATAAGTTTGACCCCCGCCCTGGAGGTGATCCACATGGTGTGGCAGACCTCTCTTGACCTGCCCACTGTTCCCCTCAGCAGTGTATTTAGTCAGCCTGTTCTGCTCCCCACTCTGTCTCTGGTTAATCCTCTCACTGCCCTTGCATCTCTGGTCTGTATCCCAGTTCTGTATGCATCAGTAAATAAAAACTTTTAAAAAATGTTTGTGGTAAAATATGTATTATATGACATTTACCATCTTAACCATTTTAAAATATAGTGTTCAATGGTATTCAGTACAGTCACATTGTTAGCAACCATGATCACCATCCATTTCCAGAACTCATCTTGAAAAACCGACACCATAATCATTAAACAGTATCTCTAATCATCACATTGCCCAACCCCTGACAACAACCATTCTACTTTTTATCTCTATTATATATCTTTCATAAGTAGAATCATAGTATTTGTATTTCTGTGATTAACCTATTTCATATAACATAATGTTTTCAAAGTTCATTCATGGTGTAGAATGTACCAGAGTTCCCTGACCCTTCTTGAGGTAGAATAATGTTCCCTTGTAAATATATACCACATTCTGTTTTTCCATTCATCCACTGAAGGACACTTGAGTTGCTTCTATGGTTTGTCCATTGTGACTGATGTGCCGTGAACATGGGTATGCAGAGACCTCTTTTAGACTGCTTTCAGCTCATCTGGTTATGTATTGAGGAGAACTGCTAGATCATATGATAATTCTATTTTTAATGTCGTGAGGAACTTCAATACTGTTTTTCACTATGGTTGCACAAATTTATAGTCTTACCAGAAATTTGTGAAGGTTCTGATTGCTTCACATACTTGCTATTATCTTTTTTTTTTTTTTTTAAATCATAGCTATCTTAGTGGGCATGAAGTATATAAAACACTCATTTTTAAACAAACTGATAGTTGCCTGACTATAAAATTGACTTCTTCACTCCTGGTAGCTACACAAAAAAGTGCTCCAACAAGTCAACAAAGTGGTTGTAGGTCAATTCAAGAGAATCAATTTGTCAAAACACCAATTCACAAATTTATCAAAGTAACCCATTTGCCAAATATAAGTTAATAGCTATAGAGGGGCACAGGGAGATAAAACTTTGGGTTTTATCTGCCCTTGATTCCCTTTATCTTTGCCCTTCAGCTTTCCGTTTACTGGGATTCGAATTGTTTTATAAGCTGAATCTTGTCTCTATTTTTGCCCTAGCAAAGATTTTCTTTTCCTTTTCCTTTTCCATCTCCTCTCTTATTTAAAGTTTCTTAACCTTTATTATGCCATGGATTCTGTGATAATGTGGCAGAAACTATGAACTCCTTTTTATAATATATTTAAGTTCATAAAATGAACAGAATATTGCAAAGGAAGACAGTTATACTGGAACACAATTCTACAGCAGAAACAGGGAAATTAGGGCAGAGACACTAAGCAGTCTAAATTATTGCTATAAAAACAAAATAGATGCCCTCCTTGGTGGTGCAACAGGTGAAAATGCAGCACTGCAAGCTAGCCACAGCCGCCTCAGTGTGAGTTTGATCCCAAACCCCAGAGGTGACCCACATGGCACAGCAGATCTCTCCTGTCTTTCCCGCTGCTCCCCTCAGCAGTGTACTTCATTAATCTGCCTGTTCTGCTCTCTACTCTGTTCCTAGTGAATCCTCTCACCTCCCCTGCACTTCTGGGCTGTATCCTAATTCTGTATGCATAAATAAATAATCTTAAAAAAAAATAAGAAAAAATGTTGATGAGATTCATATGGAACAACAAAAAACCTCGAATAGCCAAAACCCTCATGTCTAAGAAAAATCAAAATG